AGAATCACCAGATACCATACAAATTCCACTTGTTCCTATTAATCCCTACAGCAACACTTATTAAGTACTAGCTTCATCTGATTAGTTCTAAGTTGATGCTCCTGGAGGGCTACCTTCTTAAGGTCTTCAGTTCTAACCCTGCACCAACATGCCTGACTCTTGTTTTCAAGTAATCCAGAAGACCTTGATAAGCCCGTTCAGGTGTTTTTGATTCGAGTTGGGGATACACTCTCCAGGATGGCCCTCCAGGAGAAGGGTTGGTTACCCCTGAACTAGATTCTTACTATTGCCAGTGTTGAACTTGCAACACATAAAGGATATACAAACAGCGTAGCATATCTTTTCCGCCAAGACCAAATACATTAACATTGTCATATCCATTACCATGTTAAAATCTTCTGAGAGGTAATCTGAATCAGTCAGTATCAATCTGTTGATCTAATCAGTTAATGAGAAGGCACTGCATCTACATCTGGAAGAGGGGCTTTATGATAATTATGATGATTGTTCTTATGTGGTGGCATCCTGTAGGATTTGCCATGGGAGGAAGGAGACCTGGGCTTGGAGGAGGAGGATGACGAGCTTCAGCCATCTTCGGCTCCTTTAGAAGTGTTCCTGGCATCTCAGGGACTGAGTGACTTCCTCTCCATCTTCCATCGAGAGCAGATGGACCTGGATGCATTGCTGTTGTGCTCTGAGCAGGACCTCATTAGCATCCACATTCCACTCGGACCTCGTAAAAAACTACTTGATGCATGCAGCAGACGCAACAATGTTCTGGACGAAGCTGATGGCATGCAGGACACTGTGCTGTAGAGTGTGTATGTCTGTTATTGACTCTGTTCCAATATCTAGTGTACTTTCTTGTTGCCTGCATAAGCAGTTGTTTTTAAAGTAGCATCCTAGTTGAACTGTATCCTCGTAAGTGTCTACATAGGCAGCAACTCAACATGCCACAAAAACAGCGCTTCTCATGCAAAGTGCATGGGAGATTTGACATGAACAAGTCTCCCATGCATTTCTCCCATGTATTAGACAAGACTTCCAGAATTTCTCTCATCTTGACTACCATCTTGGATGTATATGTTTACTTTGACCTTGTTGCATTTTAAGATTGCTTTCTCTGTGAGGATTTTGCCAAAACAATGTATTTGCTACAAGATCATTATGCCGCCTACTGTTTAAAGCCACTTAGCCACGTCTACAAAGCCTCAGTTGACCTGGTTTACTAAATGTTCATCCCCAGTCTTAAGGTACATTCACATTACCAAAATTTCAGCTACATTTTATAGGAAAGTTTTGTTTTTGTTATTCCAGAGAGAAAAATATATTTGGCTTTGTGTTTTTTAAGCAAAATATGGTAACACTTTAGATTAGGGAACACTATTCACTAGTTTTGACACTATTCACTAATAAATAGTTGCTTATTAGCATGTATATTCTTAGCATATTGGCTATTTATTAGTACTTATAAAGCACATACTGATGCATGGCCATATTCTAAATCCCTTAACCCTACCCAATACCTAAACATAACTACTACAACAACAACTACCTTACTATGAATAATAAGCAGCAAATTAGGAATTTATTGAGGGAAAACACTTAGTTAATAGTGAAAATGTGTTCCCTAATCTACCATACAGTCATTTGCTTTTCCTGTGGAATGACTTTGCTTTTCTGCTGCAGGTGATTGAATAATGTTAATCATAGCCAAATAGCTTCATTAAATGCTCATTAATTTTGATTCCACTCTGGAATGCAACTCACTTTTAACCCTGTCTGATCAATACTTAATACAGATTGACAAAATCAAGTCCCATCCTACTTGTTTTCCTAATTAAATATCCTGGATCGCTTTGAAATGCATGACATTGTGGAAGAAAAACAGGATTTACAGTGCAATTCACATTTTTTAAATGCTTCCTATACCTGCATCTGGAGCAGAGCCATTGTGTGTGTCTGTGCATGAGTGAGTGATATGCCTGCCACCTTGTGGTTGGGAGGAAAACTACAGCTCTTCTGTTGTACACCTTACTCTCTAGCCAGCAAAACTCTGCTCACAAAGAAGTTCTACTTGAAAATGAAGTCTATATGCTGAAGGTTGCTGTTATGAATGCACATGCAGTTTGGAGGTAAAATGTACACAAATTTTTAATCTGACCTGCTATTTACCATATTGAGGTTCTTCAAAGATATTGTGGTTCCCGATACACTCTGTGAATTATTGCCTTGCATATTGATGCAGTATTTTAGGACTAAAATACAGTCATTTGCAGTAATAATTAGCATTTTGAACTTTGCAATGATTTTCAACTCTAACAATTCAGACCAAGAAACAAAGCCTTTGTTATTACATGATGACGCAGTTTGATATTGACATATATTCACTAGTGGAGCAAAAATCTATATATCAGCGCTTTAGTGTCCCAGATTACTCTAATTTACTTTTTTATTAATTTTATGTACCATGGTGGAGAATTAACATGGTAAATAAATCCACAATTTATATGACTGTAATTTCAAGCATTTTAAGTAGAATCATTTAGATCAAAAAGTCTGTAAGATCATACATTCAGGTCTGTATGTTACTGTATGTGCAAGCATTGTCTCATTTTTTGTGTTTAGTTGTACATATGAAGCTTTGGACAGCATCAATGTCCGGCCAAAAGACTTTTCAGTTATATAAAAAGTTATGTATGTGATTTAGAGTTTTCATCTTTGGAATTCTGATGATTATAATGATTGTATGCTGTACTAACTGACTCCAGCTGAGAGGTGGTTGGAGTTTGGGTGTGTGAAATACCTTCACTGGCCACCTGATGTTTGTACAGTTTTATTGATGTACAGTTCTGTGTATGTTATTGATCGACTGCAGTCAAAGCTTCTCACTCAGTGGGTGAGATGTTTGTTCTGGAGCCGTGTTCCTCTGCTGTCTGCTCATTTATGGGTGTGTGCGGCAGGTTTTAGAGGCTGACATGCTGAAAGCTGATATAACTCTTGTTACTTTATCTGTCTATCCTTCACACTCCATCTCCACACAATTCAGCTACACACGGCTAGCCTTTCTTACATGTACAGTGTACATGACAGTATATGTGTTCAGTACCTGTCTGGATACAAGTTTATTTGCTTCTGTGTCTTTTACTGGCTCTTAGCTCAGATTGGTCCTCATTCGTTCACAAATTTCTATGTAAATGTTTTGTAAAACCATTCTTGCGCAAGTCATTGTCAAACAGAAATGTATGACATTTTCAATGTAGAAGCTACATTTTTTCTTATGTAAATTGTAGAAAAATATTTTAAATACAAACATTTCTGTGTAAATCATTCATAAATCCACTCTTAATTATTCATAAGAAATTTGTTCTGCTTATGTTACCTTTGTTTTGTATTATGTTTCATGAAGCACAGTGTTTTGTTTTCCATTCTGTGCTCGTTCCTCTCCTCTTTTGTGGTCTTGCATGAAACTCTAAATATTGTCTTTACATTTTACACGTCCCTGACTATGTCAGGTCATATTTCACCCTAAAATCAAAAGAAAAAAAAACTATTAGATTTTTTAAAATGTTTACTTTTGATTTGGGGGTAAAATATGGCTCAAGACTCATTTTCAGGGAATGCCAATGTTTTCAGTGACAAATTGTGGATAGTTGTTTTAAAAATGTTGATTTAATAAACTAGTCATTTTTACTGACCTGTATTTTATGTTTCTTTTTATTTTAAATAGTCTACATTCTGTGTACTGCATAGAATCGCTAATGTCCTTTCTGCCCTAGGTTTTGCACCTTTTTTTTTCTTTTTTTTTTTTTTTTTTTTTTTGCTGCACCTTTTCTTTTGTCTTCTGCCAAGTAGATTAAAAGAGACAGAATGAATACATGGGCGAGTCAGTAGATTAGAGAGAGAGAGAGTAAATATATTCTATAACTGAAGTGTGTGTGTGTGTGTGTGTGTGGTGTGTGTGTGTGTGTGTGAGAGAGAGAGAGAGTTTACTGTGTTGTTCTTGTGATACAAGACGCCACATGGGACCTGCATGTGTACCAAAGGCATCATTGTAGGAACAAGAAAGATGAGAACTTACAGATTTTTGTGTAAATAACTTCTACATAAATTGTTGCATGATTTTGTGTTTTGATCATTTTTTTGTTGGTTTGTTTCACATAAAAATTGCAGAATTCATGTGCAAAATGTATGTTAAACCCTTGCATAATTTATATAAATAATAGGACTGTTTTTAGATTTTTGTAAAATAGTTTTATGACTTTTGCAACTATGATTTTTATGCTGAATTTCTGTGCAAGTAAAAGAAACTGTCAAATAGAGTTTTCATTAATCCAAACTAAACAAATTTCTGTATAAATCATCTGTAAGACTATTCTTGCATAAATTGTTGATTTTGTGATTTGACAGGGTTTTTTTTTTATTTGTCTACATAGAAATTTCAGAATTCCTGTGTAAATTGTACAATTATTATGTTATTTTATTTTTTTGTCTTATACAGAAATGTTAAATTTATGTATTTTTTTGTGTAAAATTGTTCAGTTGAATGCAAAAATTAATTTTTGTGAAAGTCATTCACAAAAATTGGTTTTTAATGTAAAACGGTTTTACATTTTAGTGGTTTTGACATTCATTCTGTAGCTGTGTGTGTGTGGTCCTGGTAAACCCTATATGGAAATGTGGACAAAATGTCCCTAAAAAGATGGCAATATCCGAATTCTTTGTCCTTGTGGTGACATTTTCTGGTCCCCATGAGGAAACAAGCTTATAAATCATACAAAATTTAGTTTTTTGAAAATCTAAAAATGCAGAAAGTTTCCTGTGATGGGTAGGTTTAGGTGTAGGGCGATAGAATATATGGTTTGTACAGTAAAAAAAAATCGGCTATGGAGAATCCCAATAAAACGCGTGTGTGTGCGCTGTTCTTGTGATAGGAGATGACGCAGGACTCTTGCAGCATTGAGGACACTCCTGCCACAGGCATCGCCGTGGGAACGAGACAGATACTGTGAGAGAGAGAGATCCGTTTCTAGCGCAGTCAGCACTAAAGTCCCTCACTGCCTTGTTTCGCGGACGGGACGGAGAGTGTGTGCGCGAGCCATGCGTCTCTGAGCTTCAGCGCTAGCATGCAGAGCAATCCAGAGAAGAGGAGAGACACCGCGTCCCGGGATGGCGAAGAACACCGGGACGCGGAGCGGGAGACGCTGATGATGGAGCTGACGCGCCTGGTGCAGAAGAGTGTGAGAGAGAGCAGCTGGTGGGAGAGGAGAGGAATAGACTGCAGCATCCTCACCGCAGCCTTCATCAGTTTACCGGCAGGTACACACACACACACTTTCACTACTTTTCATTATAGACACAAAAGACACACAGGCTCTTTGGGAGAATCTCCAAACAAACTAAAGAAATCAAAATAGCTACATTTCCACTTTAAATTCTCATTACTGTAATGCAAAAAAAAAAAAAGGTCAAATTTCCATTGTTGTGATGTGGGAGCAATTATGTATTATTTAAAAATAGTAGCCTGTAGGCCTAGACATAGTAATTATATATCTTAACTGATTTAATGAGAATAATTAGGGGAATTACAAAAACATTCAAAAGTAAAATCTATTAGAATAGTGAGAATTTTACTGAATGAAAATGTCATAATAATGCATATATCATGCATGCATGTATGGCAAGGCAAATAGGCTTTGTTTTTTTTATGCAAAATATAATTTCCTTTTTTGTTTGAGATTCAGCTATTCACATCTGAAAAAAAAAACCTTTACTTTGAAACAGTTTTCACTCGTAATTTGTAGAAATGTACAAGTAATTACAAAGAAATGTGAAGTACAGTATTTTAAGTATGCATTTTGATTTAAGTTGCTCAGAGTCTAGGGAACATTCAAAGTGTGTTTTTATGCTGTGATTGTTTTCATTTCAACAGGTCATTGTGTTTACAACGGCCTGTATGAGTTGTATGAGGGTGTGTACTGTCATTAATAGGGAGTATATTGGATCATGTGCATTAAAAACAAATTGTTGACTGGTTTAGTCATGAAGAGGTGTGACTGTGTGCCCGCCGGTTATTGGGTTAAACTTCCCTTTAACACTGACACAGAAACCAAAACTTCAGTTTCGTACCAAACGTTCTTTGACTTTTAATTCAAACAACTTGGCTTCTTTATACAGAATCTTTTAAGCTTTCAGACATTGGCGACAGTTAAAGGGATAGTTCATGTAAAAAGGAAAACTCGGTCTTCATTTACTCACTTGTTCCAAACCTGTAAGAATTTCTTTCTTCTGCTGAACACAAAAGAATGAAGACCAAACAGTTGCTGGTCCCCGTTGAGTTTCATAATAAGGAAAAAGGGGGGCAGAAACTGTTTGCTTGCCAACATTCTTCAAAATGTCTTCCTTCACCGTTCAGCAGAAGAAAGAAACTCGTACAGGTTTGGAACGAGTGAGTAAACGATGACAGGATTTTCACTTTTGGGTAAACTATCCCTTTAGTATCCAAATCACCGAGGCGCTCCTGTGGTGGTGGTTGTCATGGTGACCGGTTCGATCTGGGTGCTTCGCTCTCATTGGGCAGATCCAGTTTCCTGCAGCAGCCGAGCCACTGACTCGTCTTTCAGGGAGAAACCAACAGCGATGGGGGTCGAAACTGCTAAATTATGAGAAAAAAGATCTTTTAATACTCTATTATATACGAGCCAAAACAACAGGACATGGCATAATTTAATTAACAGCATCATATTTGTGAAATTTAGTGGCAGTCTTTGGATTTTGGCAAAACAACTATGAAATATGACACCAAAATGTAAAAAAAAAAAAAAAAAGAAGCATGATCTACATTATACTTTTTTTTTCAATAATACATAATAATAAATAATACCCAGAAACATTAAAATAAATATAACCATTGCCTGATTAAATAATTCAAAGCAGATATTTCTTCAAACATACCCATCATAACACATAATTTAATTAAAAAAGATACCAAATGAAACATGAATTCAAAATTATTTACGTTTATTCATTGCCAGAAACGATGACGTCATACGTGTGCGTATTACATGTTCAGTGTATCCGCCTTATTCCTATATTATTATTCCTAATAAGCCGACTGCATTTTAAATTAGGCGAGGCACTTCCGGTTTGGGGAAGTTCTGCTCAAAAAGACTGCAACAAATCACTTCAAATCATGATTGCGCTACAAATAATCCTTATTTTGACTGAATGGGCTGTAAATTTTCATTCATTTTTTATTTTCAGAAGTCAGGAGAATAACGTTAATAGCTCTTTTCAGCCCGCTGCATTATTTTCCTCCTGATTATTTTCATGTTTCCTTTGTATTCCACTGTAAGTACATGAAAAAAAGACAACATATACTGTGCATTTGTGGTCTGCTCTCCCGATTTAATTTACGATATAAACCATGAATAATTCCCTGGAATACACTAAGAATCTATTATTTTTCTCCCCAAATCCTCACGTCTCTTTCCAGGTTTGTCTTTACACGGATGCTGTAAAATGTAATTGTTACCAAATATAGACATATATTACTATAATTATATTTAACATGTACGTAATATTGCTGCAGATAGAAGGAGGCTCTTCAGGAGTTATTTATGGTATGTTGAAAGTAATTTGTTAATGCTTTTACACTTTTGAATTTCCTTTTAATGATCGACGGTTAAAGGGTGAGTAAAATAATGTCACCTCATTGTACTCAGTTTTTGAAAATGCTTATTATTGCGCTCATATAGAGCAAAATTTTGCTGACTGTTTACAGTATAAAGGGAAGTTACTCCCATAATTTGTGCAAAGCATCATGGGGCTTAGGAAAAAGGTAGATAGGAATGCATATTACGTGTTCGCATAATGTTTCTTTACTAAGTGGCATCGCCATCTACTGGCCTGGCATGCTTAATACAGCGCTTTTAGTTGTGTTTGTTTTGACAACGTTGTTGTCTACACAGAACTTTTCCGTTTTTATTACAATCGTTATGTAAAGGCACCCTTAATCTAAAAGATTATTAGAGCATGTTTTACAAGAAAAAACTTCAGTCTTTCTACTTCAAAATTCTGTTACTTGCTATTTATTTGTAACTCATTGAGAAATTTACTAGAAACTTCAGAGTGAAAATTGTTTCTACTTTAGTGTTTTCTCAATAACTCATTTCTAAACCTGTTAAAAGTTACATAATGCAAGCATTTTGTGTCAAAGCTTTGATTACGGAGCATAAATGTCATCTACCTGTTTGTGCTCATATGTTTGTCGTGAGTCGAGCTCCGCGCCGCTACAGTGATGTTGTTCTTGTGTCTGCAGGGTTCCTGTTGTTGGGTTCGTCTCAGCCGCTGTATTTCCTGTCAGGTGTTCTGATAATGGGCGTGGTTCACGCTGTCATCACCGTTAAAGGGACACACCTGGCCAGTCACGGCGCGCTCAGCGAGTCTCCGGTCTGGGCCGACTTCTGGGCCGTCTTCTTCATCGAAGTGAGATTTGCTGCACTCAAGAAAAAAAAATGCTGGGTTGTTTTAACCCAATTTTGGGTCAAATATGGACTAACCCAACTTTTGGGTTAAAAATTTAATTAAAAAATTTAACCCAACAGCTGGGTTAGTCCATATTTGACCCAAAGTTGGGCTGAAACAACAGTGTACCGATGTGAAATTATTAAACATATAGGGAAATCTATCATTGCAAAGTAGAAAAATTATATATTATATGAAAAAGCACCAAGAGTACCATGGTTTTCCATTTTCACCTTAATTCCATGTGTTTTGGGTCATCAGTGTATAAGTGAAGTGTGTTTCACATGCAGCTAATTCTCTGCAACACGAAAATACAAAAGTATGGAAAGAATTTAGCTGATTAATTCTTCATGAATTAACTTTATAGATTAAGAGGATTTAGATTAATTTACAGTTTCCATCCTCTCAAGAATGTAAAAGAGTTATAATGTTGATCATATTCCATGGCAACAGTCTGTACTCATACAGTGGGCCCCAAAAATTATTCGATTTTATAGTTTTATATGCAATTTTCATTGCAATTTATGTTAGCACAACAGTATGAATGAAATCAGATTTCAGAATCAAATGTTCTTAGTATTTGTTGAGTTTCTCTTTTGCTTTAATGACAGGAGCACTGGAGCTACATATTGTTCCAAAAACCATCTTGAGCTTCAATGGAACCAAGAACATCTGACCTATATTTAGTTTAAAATTTAAATTAAATTATTAAATTATTTACTTTTTTAATTAAATTATTTACAATATTAAATATTTACATCATTGAAATGTTTTAATGTTTACTAATTATTTCATTAAAATAGCAAATTAAAGTATTCAAAATATTTTATTTAAGTATTAAGTATTTAAAATATTTTATTTATTATTTTAATTAAATTAAATTATTAAATTGCAGCTTAAATTATTCAATAAATTAAAATGCCACTTAATAATATTTAATAATAAAGTAACTGCAATTCAAAAAAGGAAAAAATTGATGAAGTAACTTTTGTCAAACAAGATTATAAAAATATGTATAAAGATAATATGC